TGACGATTTATACAGACATGCTAACATGAACATTTATCCATACATATCCACAGGACCATTTTTATAGACAAACTAACATGGCCATTTATACAGGCATACCAACATGACCATTTATCCATACATACCGACATGACCATTTATACAGGCATACCAACATGACCATTTATACAGACATGTCAACATGACCATTTATCCATACATACCAACATGACCATTTATCCATACATACCAACATGGCCATTTATATAGACATTCCAACCTATGAGAAACTGGTGATTATTGGCTTGGTAGTCACTGAGGGGATTGATGAAAATTTTGTGGGCTCTATCCCTCGCAACAGCCATACTGCCCTTTATACAGAAAGAATGTGTGTCAAATTTGTTTGATACATTTCATGACCAATTCAGTTTGGAAATTTTGATCTCAAAGATGCTCGTACAAATATTACTTAGATAAAATATCCCCTTTGTGTAGACGCCATTATCCGCAGATACAACAGAATATCCAGATTATAGGGAGTGGCATTATTTTTTGCAGTCTCCCTGAAATCTCCTCCGCTTGTCTTAATATCTCTGTCAGTCGACAGATCATGTGTATCTTGGACTTGAAGATTGGTCTGAAGTGACTTCTTGCGAAGTGTTTGTCAGATCCTGTCATAGGTAGGGGTCTCATTGAAATAAAAGATTCGAGTTTTAATAATGACATTGCTAAAACTCCCTCAGATGGAAACTACATCAACCCAGGTACGAAGACAGAGTAGTGATGTTTGCTGAATTTCCTGAAAACAAGGACCAAGATGTATGCGTCCTCCCCATGAGGATTGTCACGAATGTTAGGTTTTGTTTAGGTTTTGATTATTTCAATAAAGTGTTCAAATGGTTTTAGTATTTGATGGCTTTTTGTCTTGTCGCCTTGGCATGATTGGGTTATTAGAAATGTGAAACTGAAACAACCCATGTACTATCAACATTCTTGCACCATTAAGGGTCAAGGTCAAGGGTACTAGAGACTAAAGAAACCTAATGTCCTGTGTTGGATTCGAACACAGGTCTTGTCCACTGCCGGAAAAAAATATGTTGAACTGGTATACCTAACGTGTAAATATGAACTGTAGTTTGTAAATTATAACCACGTCCCATACTCTGACTAGTCGCTAGTAGGAACAAGGCCTTTTCAAAGGTCAAAGAAATGCATGCTATTGTTTCCTGCGGTTTCGTACCAATGAAAGTCTAAAATATCATTCTGTGAACATAAGACACTTTTAGTGTAGTTGAAACACCAAGCCATGGGGAGAAAATAAAGGAAAAGCTTGTGACATGAAGACCCTCAAGGACCTCGAACTCAAGTGAGTCCTATTCTTATGTATGGCTGGCGTAAGTACGTTGGTGCATCGGTGACGGCCCGTGAAAGCGCCATTTCAATTTTCAGTATACCCGGTAAAGCGTCAAACCAGGTACTGTCGGGTATTGCCGGGAAAGCGTCAACATGATAGTTGCAAGGAAAACATCAGATTAGCGTAAATGAGTTGAGCGTCCATGATTAAAAATTGTCTTCGCTACTCCTGATTGCGCATGTTGCATCTGTATCACAACTGGGGCGGTGGGGTAGCCAAGTGATTAAAGCGTTCGCTCGTCATGCCGAATGCCCGGGCTCGATTCCCCACATGGGTACAATGTGTGAGGCCCATTTCTGGTGTCTCCAGCCATGATATTGCTGAAATATTGCTAAAAGCGGCGTAAAACCATTCTCACCCACTCAGTGTATCACAACTGCCGTCGAAAAGGAGACTGACGGGATCGGGTGGCCAGGCTTGATAGCACATGACGTCGTATGAATGCTTATGCTGTTGGTCACTGGATTGTGTGGTCCAGTTCCATTATTTACAGACTGCTGCCATTTAGCTGGAATATTGCTGAGTGCGGCGTTAAACAACCAACCACAGAGAAACCCGTACTGTTAACCCGTTTATTGGCATGTCTCTTTGTTTCCTTTTCCTCCATACGCGAGAACATGTGGCAATTCTTCCGTGTGAATCAAATATTAAGAAGGTGTAGCGAGCGGAAATAATGCCGACTTATGCAGCAGAGAAATATCTAACATCGACGTCAGAGATATATTTCAGTTTCAATGACCTGCCTATATCGATTTCATTGTGCGTGGAATGTGTCACTGAAAGTCAATAATGACACTAAGTCGCGGTAGCTGAGTGGGTTAGGCGGCTGACTTTGTGTGCTGGCGATTGGGTGCCTGACTCTGAGGGTGTGAGTTCGAATCCCGGATGGGGCTCAACTCAAAAAAGTACTAGAATTTGTACTTTACTAAGAAAGTGTAATCCCAAATATAACACATGTTACAATAATGACACTAGGTGTTACCCAAAAATAATATTCCCGCCTTCCATACAGTTTAGATAAAGAGTCTGTTTGTTTGCTTGTTGCATAGCACTTAACAGCAGTACTCTGCCACGTGGCGGTGGTCTGTTATACAAGCAGGAGAATCAAGTCGCGGATCTCACAGAAACCCATCCAGGGATTGACTTTGATGAAATATATGTTTATTTTGAATCTCGTTGCTGTGAAACAGTGTTAAGATTCAGTTGCTTGTAAGTGGCGAAAAACGTTTAAGCAATATGTTCGTTTGGTAACACAGTTTGGCAGTTTCAGTGCCCTGCTGGTGTCTGTCATTTCACCTACCCCTGCCCCTGTCCCAATCACTACCCCTACCCCTGCCCCTGTCCCAATCACTACCCCTACCCCTGTCCCAGTCACCACGCCTACCACTGTCCAAATCACTACCCTTCCCCATGTCCCTGCCCCTGTCCCAATAAATACCCCTACCTCTGCCCAAATCACTACCTCTACCCCTGTCCCAATCACTACCCCTACCCCTGCCCTGCCCTACCATTTGCACAAGTCTCTAAGGTATAATAAATAGTTCAAATGATAATTTCTAAAAAATAATGAATAACATACTGTGGTCCTTAGACTTGCCTCTTCGAAGGATGGAATGACTAAACATCCTTGAGCTCAGCATTTAGTACAGCCTTGGAGCAAGGCTATGCCCTGCCAACAGCCTTCTAGGGTGTTATGTACAGATCAGGCTGTATTGTAGGATACCATTGTTCTTCTATGTTGAGTCACCCATTCTCGGGGAACGCTGCGCAATCTCAGGAGTGCAATGTGTATTAAGAATATCATATTCAAACAAAGGACACTACCGGGGCTCAGCTAGTCAAATTACCACAAGCAACGTGTGGGTATATACATGTATTTCTGTGCATGTTCAGTTCAGACAGGTTCCATATCGATGGTTATGGGAAGTTAGCGGGGACAGGAGAAAAATAATATACACAAAGAACTTAAGCACCCAAGCACCCGCTGACATATCTCACGATTGAATGAGCCCTGATCTTATCGCTTTGGAGCATATCTGGGACATGATTGGTCGTCGTATGCAACAAAGGGATCATCCTGTACAGAACCTGACCCAATGGGAAGCTGCTTTACACGAGGAATGGCGTCGACTGCCCCTTTCGAGGATCAGGAGGCTGACAATGGGTATGAGGAGGAGAGTGCTGGCTGTCATACAGTCACGTGGAGGTTACACTCGGTATTGACCTTGAATCGTGTACGACACGCAAAATGTTCACATTCACCAATAAGTTCAACATTACACACTGGGCCATACTTGTACACACGTTTTTGTATGAAAATCAGTGGGGTTTTTTAAATGAGCAATTATCATTATAAAATCAACATGGATTCCAATCATTTTGTCGTTTTTTTATGAGTCAAAGGATCATACGGGTCAGATAAGCACATGTTTTTCCATCGTGAACACCACGAGAAGTTTTATGTGCGTGTTCGCAAAAATACAGGGGTGCTTTATTACGTCTTGTGTGTATATAATAGAAAGCTACATTGCATAAGAACAGTATGTTTCAACATCTTACAATGGTACATATATATATCTTACAATGGTACATACAATGGTATATATAAAGAAAGTGATGAGAATACCGAGCGTACAGTAGTACATATATAAGAAGAAGTTTCTGAAATAATCACACGACACGGATCTTCTCCAACATGTTTCACTTTTATCTTCAGGGAGAAGTGATTACAGTTAAACGGATTATGTATACAGTTGCATTGTGACGTCATGACAAAGTGACGTCATAACATAATCCGTGTAACTGTAATCACTTCTCCCTGAAGATAAAAGTGAAACATGTTGGAGAAGATCCGTGTCGTGTGATTATTTCAGAAACTTCTTCTTATATATGTACTACTGTACGCTGGGTATTCTCATCACTTTCTTTATATTTAAAATCTAATATTAGTACATTTATACATTTGTTTCGAATATCGTTCATTCTGCGTTGATCTCATTTGTGAATTATCAGTTTCGCAATCAACCTAGGCATTTATACACGTCAGCATTAATCAAGCATCACCCACGTTTTAACATTACACTATATGTTGCTGTATATGTTTGGAAACCCAAATCCCGCTTATCAAAATGGTCATGTTTTTGATAACATGTTTTACTCTGTTTGTTGTGATTGTATAAAGCCCCACCCCTCGCACGGATAACCTTTGCCAGTATCCTCATGCATGTAATCAAGCGTCGAATTCTCACCATTCCTCAAGGAGTGCCTGCGTCAATTCCTGGATCTCCAGCTCTAACTTGGCGTCCAAGAGAGTCCCACTGGGGTTCAAATCGGGGCTTCTTGAGAGTCATTGTAATGGGCGATGAAGGCTCGAGAACGGTGAAGACTAGTGTTGTTCACTAAGGGGATAATGCGGATGATTAACAACTTTCGCGTATTTCCCCGTTACTTCGACTATTTTCTCGTTACATCAAGATTTTCAAAAACTCTTTTCAACTTCGGTTAAAAAATCATCTACGCTGCAAAGGTGGCACCGTTAGGCTTCCGTAGTTAACGCTGTACGTTATCTCTTGCACAGTACGAACAGGGTGACATAGCTTCCCCGCAGCCCTCATATAGCTAGAGAGTATCGAATATCACGTTAACCAGATCAATTCTGTAAACTGTTGTTGGGACAAGATTTATCTGTAAAATGTGAACGGCAGTTGGACTGTAGCCAAGTCAAGGTCCAGGATACTTTAGAAACCAGCACCTGTTGATAGGAGACATACCTGTAGTCAGCTACAGCTGCACTGGTGCTGAGTGAGTACTTACTTACACTTACATCTAGATATAAGCTTCAGGTATCAGCAGGATTTGAGGTATGAGAAGAACTTAATGTCCTGTCATGTTTGTCAAATGCAATTCAACAATTGTGGTTTTTTTCAAGAAAATATTTCAGTTAACCTGAACGTAGATCTGTAGATCTAGAGTTTTCGATGCACCTCTTCATGTCCGCATTTGGGATCCTAGAGTGGCTTGCTATAATCATGGGTTGAAATATGCTCAAGTAATGCTTCTTGGTTCGTAAGCACTATATCTGTATTCACGAATGTCTGCCTTATCGACATGAAAGAAAAGATGAATGAACAGACAATGTATGGGTATTTTTTAAAATCCCTTTATTTCTTTTTGAAATACAGCATTCCACACACATATAACAGGTCGACATATTTGTAATATTACAGTCAAATTACAGTAATTTTCTTTGTAAATAGATTGTGGGAAGACGACCAAACCGAAACAAAAGCGTCATATTTTCAGTGAGAGTAGGCATTAAATTTATGCAATGTGTAATTGTAATTCAATTTGGTTTCATACCAGCTTTAGAAGGTAAAATGTTTGCTTCTTTTCTAGAATAAATGTATTATTTACTTCATAAAAAATCAAATTCAGTACATAATTTCTTCTCTCTTTGAATCCGGGAATAATGGTTTCGACGTATAATTTCAAATTGATTTTTCATTTTCAATCCATTCTAGTAGAAATTGCCACAGCTTTTTGACAATTTTTCATTCATATAGTTTAGGTAGATGAATAATCGATTCTATTTCAACATCACTAAATGTACATAGTGGTGATTCTATTAGTTTATATTTGTAGATATCTTTATTTGTTGTGAGGATTCTATGGAGAATACGATATTGAAGCCATCTGTGCTTATCACTAAAAGATGCTAGAAATGGTATAAAATTAGATGTTTTCCATAGATTAAGTGTGATATCTATGTTCAGTTCGGTGCGATATCTATGTTCAATTCAGTGTGATATCTACGTTCGATTCAGTATGATATCTATGTTCAAATCAGTGTGATGTCTATGTTCAATTAAGTGTATGGTATGGGTAATTTACTTAGCAATCTTACGGAGACTCGTAGCTATTTACTTAGCAATCTTACGAAGACTCGTAGCTATTTACTTAGCAATCTTACGGAGACTCGTAGCTATTTACTCAGCAATCTTACGAAGACTCGTAGCTATTTACTTAGCAATCTTACGAAGACTCGTAGCTATTTACTTAGCAATCTTACGGAGACTCGTAGCTATTTACTTAGCAATCTTACGAAGACTCGTAGCTATTTACTTAGCAATCTTACGAAGACTCGTAGCTATTTACTTAGCAATCTTACGGAGACTCGTAGCTATTTACTTAGCAATCTTATGGAGACTCGTAGCTATTTACTCAGCAATCTTACGAAGACTCGTAGCTATTTACTTAGCAATCTTACGGAGACTCGTAGCTATTTACTTAGCAATCTTACGGAGACTCGTAGCTATTTACTCAGCAATCTTACGAAGACTCGTAGCTATTTACTTAGCAATTTTACGAAGACTCGTTGCTATTTACTTAGCAATCTTACGAAGACTCGTAGCTATTTACTTAGCAATCTTACGAAGACTCGTAGCTATTTACTTAGCAATCTTACGAAGACTCGTAGCTATTTACTTAGCAATCTTACGGAGACTCGTAGCTATTTACTTAGCAATCTTACGGAGACTCGTAGCTATTTACTTAGCAATCTTACGAAGACTCGTAGCTATTTACTTAGCAATCTTACGAAGACTCGTAGCTATTTACTTAGCAATCTTACGGAGACTCGTAGCTATTTACTTAGCAATCTTACGGAGACTCGTAGCTATTTACTTAGCAATCTTACGAAAACTCGTAGCTATTTACTTAGCAATCTTACGAAGACTCGTAGCTATTTACTCAGCAATCTTACGGAGACTCGTAGCTATTTACTCAGCAATCTTACGAAAACTCGTAGCTATTTACTCAGCAATCTTACGGAGACTCGTAGCTATTTACTCAGCAATCTTACGGAGACTCGTAGCTATTTACTTAGCAATCTTACGAAAACTCGTAGCTATTTACTCAGCAATCTTACGGAGACTCGTAGCTATTTACTTAGCAATCTTACGGAGACTCGTAGCTATTTACTTAGCAATCTTACGAAGACTCGTAGCTATTTACTCAGAAATGGTACGAGGACTCATTTGCTGATGTTCTATAAACACAAATAAAGAGCTTATTTCTCCTCCTGTATTATGCAGGTTGTCGCCGGGGTCTCTGTGTTTTCGCTGTTTCGTTTTTCTGCAAACCTAGAAGGGACACTTGCAACAACAACAACAAAAATACAACCGCATAGTGACAAAGTTAACCAAAGCGTGACAATGAGAAAACGCGTCATTTCGACCATTTCCCTCACATCTCGTTGTTTTGAATAACATTGTTATCCTTCAAACGGGAAACATAGCGACAGCAATATAAAGTGTGTCACAAGGCGTTAAAAAGCGCTACAATGCGACAGATTGACAGATTAGTCGCAAGGTTTATATTGATATTATTTGCTCTGCTTTATGTCAAAACAATGATGCGTCTGAGTTCTTGTATGATACTGTGTCATTGCTGGAAGTTGTGACTGCATGATGTCTGGCTCTGAGCTTGACTTCTTGCATCATTGTTGGAAGTTGTGACTGGAAGAAGTCTGGCTCTCAGCTTGACTTCTTGCATCATTGCTGGAAGTTGTGACTGCATGATATCTGGCTCTGAGCTTGACTTTTTGCATCATTGCTGGAAGTTGTGACTGCATGATATCTGGCTCTGAGCTTGACTTTTTGCATCATTGCTGGAAGTTGTGACAGAAAGATGTCTGGCTCTGAGCTTGACTTCTTGCATCATTGCTGGAAGTTGTGACTGCATGATATCTGGCTCTGAGCTTGACTTCTTGCATCATTGCTGGAAGTTGTGACTGGAAGATGTCTGGCTCTGAGCTTGACTTCTTGTATCATTGCTGGAAGATGTGACTGCATGATATCTGGCTCTGAGCTTGACTTTTTGCATCATTGCTGGAAGTTGTGACTGGAAGATGTCTGGCTCTGAGCTTGACTTCTTGCATCATTGCTGGAAGTTGTGACTGCATGATATCTGGCTCTGAGCTTGACTTCTTGCATCATTGCTGGAAGTTGTGACTGCATGATATCTGGCTCTGAGCTTGACTTCTTGCATCATTGCTGGAAGTTGTGACTGCATGATATCTGGCTCTGAGCTTGACTTCTTTGCATCATTGCTGGAAGTTGTGACTGCATGATGTCTGGCTCTGAGCTTGACTTCTTGCATCATTGCTGGAAGTTGTGACTGGAAGATGTCTGGCTCTGAGCTTGACTTCTTGCATCATTGCTGGAAGTTGTGACTGCATGATATCTGGCTCTGAGCTTGACTTCTTGCATCATTGCTGGAAGTTGTGACTGCATGATGTCTGGCTCTGAGCTTGACTTCTTGCATCATTGCTGGAAGTTGTGATTGCATGATATCTGACTCTGAGCTTGACTTCTTGCATCATTGCTGGAAGTTGTGACTGGAAGATGTCTGGCTCTGAGCTTGACTTTTTGCATCATTGCTGGAAGTTGTGATTGCATGATATCTGGCTCTGAGCTTGACTTCTTGCATCATTGCTGGAAGTTGTGACTGCATGATGTCTGGCTCTGAGCTTGACTTCTTGCATCATTGCTGGAAGTTGTGATTGCATGGTGTCTGGCTCTGAGCTTGACTTCTTGCATCATTGCTGGAAGTTGTGACTGGAAGATGTCTTGCTCTGAGCTTGACTTCTTGTATCATTGCTGGAAGTTGTGACTGCATGATATCTGGCTCTGAGCTTGACTTCTTGCATCATTGCTGGAAGTTGTGACTGCATGATATCTGGCTCTGAGCTTGACTTCTTGCATCATTGCTGGAAGTTGTGACTGCATGATGTCTGGCTCTGAGCTTGACTTCTTGCATCATTGCTGGAAGTTGTGACTGGAAGATGTCTGGCTCTGAGCTTGACTTCTTGCATCATTGCTGGAAGTTGTGACTGCATGATATCTGGCTCTGAGCTTGACTTCTTGCATCATTGCTGGAAGTTGTGACTGCATGATGTCTGGCTCTGAGCTTGACTTCTTGCATCATTGCTGGAAGTTGTGATTGCATGATGTCTGGCTCTGAGCTTGACTTCTTGCATCATTGCTGGAAGTTGTGATTGCATGATATCTGACTCTGAGCTTGACTTCTTGCATCATTGCTGGAAGTTGTGACTGGAAGATGTCTGGCTCTGAGCTTGACTTTTTGCATCATTGCTGGAAGTTGTGATTGCATGATATCTGGCTCTGAGCTTGACTTCTTGCATCATTGCTGGAAGTTGTGACTGCATGATGTCTTGGCTCTGAGCTTGACTTCTTGCATCATTGCTGGAAGTTGTGATTGCATGATGTCTGTCTCTGAGCTTGACTTCTTGCATCATTGCTGGAAGTTGTGATTGCATGATATCTGGCTCTGAGCTTGACTTTTTGCATCATTACTGGAAGTTGTGACTGGAAGATGTCTGGCTCTGAGCTTGACTTCTTGTATCATTGCTGGAAGTTGTGATTGCATGATATCTGATGGAAGTTGTGACTCTGAGCTTGACTTCTTGCATCATTGCTGGAAGTTGTGACTGCATGATGTCTGGCTCTGAGCTTGACTTCTTGCATCATTGCTGGAAGTTGTGATTGCATGGTGTCTGGCTCTGAGCTTGACTTCTTGCATCATTGCTGGAAGTTGTGATTGCATGATATCTGGCTCTGAGCTTGACTTTTTGCATCATTGCTGGAAGTTGTGACTGGAAGATGTCTGGCTCTGAGCTTGACTTCTTGTATCATTGCTGGAAGTTGTGACAGGAAGATGTCTGGCTCTGAGCTTGACTTTTGCATCATTGCTGGAAGTTGTGATTGCATGATATCTGGCTC